GAACGTGTTCTTCAGATGGAAGCCTTCTTTCGTTTATTTCAATTGGCAACCTTATACTTTTATAATGTACGGACACCAACCATTTTGGTGGTGCGCTTGCTCTGCGCCAAGCCCAACTGTTCTCCTGGCCACTTACGCTCCAGTCCAACCCAGTTCCCATTGCGTAATCGACCGTTTCAATTGATTGAAACCCGAGAAAATTGGGCAGCAAACAACGTTTCATGTCTGTTCTGTTGTGCTCGATGCACCAAGGCACGCACACACACACAGCCATGGAAATATTCAGGATAAACAACAAATAAATCCACGGCATACCAACGCAAACCAAAGCAAACCAAACAAACGGACGAGCAAGCAGGCAGGCAGACACACACGACAATCAAACAAAGCAAACAAACGAAAGTACAAGCAACCATCCAACCGAACAAACAAACGAAACAAAGCAACATACACCAAAATAACGCCAAACACCAACCACCCAACCAACCCAACCCAACCCAACCCAACCCAACCCAACCCAACCCAACCCAACCCAACCCAACCCAACCCAACCCAACCCAACCCAACCCAACCCAACCCAATGCAACACCACACCCCACCCCACCCCACCACCCCACCCCACCCCACCCCACCACACCACACCACACAACCAACCCACCAACCAAAACAACAATCAAACAATCAAACAAACAAGCAAACAAAAGCAAGCAAGCAATAAATCAATCAGGCAAGCAAACAGCCAAACAAGCGCGCACACAAACAAGTAGAGAAAGTAAATGGGCACATACACAAGCAAGCAAGCGATTAACAAAACAAGCAAGCAAACAAAACAAGCGACCCAGTAACAACCGAGATGTATGGCTGAATTCAATGTTAGTGGCGGCAAATCAATCCTTTCTAGGCGTTGAAAGCCAACGGCTCCCTTTATTCCCCTTGAAACATCACCCCGGCAAAAGGAGGCATTGTGGATGTGGCTTTTTTGAGGGCACTGGGCTTTTGGTTCTTTCAAAGGGAACCCGAAAAGAAAACCACTCATTTTCGGGGGTCCCCCCAATAAGAGAGACCCATTGGCCGCATAGTTGGAATTTTGGCCAATCAGTCAGCCTTCAAGGGTTTTGTCGCTCTCGACCGATGAATTCACCAGTGAGAACGTGTGCCAAGGATTATCTTGGAGGTGTTGCTGACACAGCGAGTTGACGTCAGCTTGTAAAACAACGGGTCTTGGAGCGTTTCGGACACATGGCCAGCGTTCTGTATGGGTGTGTGTGTGTGTTGCCGCACTGCAGGGCGGAAACAATCTGAGCATGGCCAAAGTAAAAAGCACACATGCAAGATGCTCGCAATCGTTGACCACCACCTAACCTTTGAACGGCATCAACCCAAAGGTAGCCGCTTTGGCCGCGAGTTCCCTTTGAAAAGCCAAAGGTAAACCACCCACCAAGCATGCTTATCCATTTTGGGGTGTTGAAGGCAAGCTAGCAAAAAAAAACATCCATGAGCAACCATATTTATCCCCAGCTGTAATTCGAATGGGTTGTCGGTTACCTTCACACTTCCTGCATGAAGATCCCTAGCCTCCCTAACCCCCCCTTATGGACACGAGTCGATTCTGCATTCACCCTCAGTGCGAAAACGAGTCTGGTGCCGCAAGATGTCCTCTCAATGTTCATGGCACAGGCCGCCCACCCTCACACATTGTTCCCAAGGAAGCATGTCAGGGCAGTGTGCCATGTCTCTTTGTTGGGGCTAACCCCCTCCTTTTGCCATCCACTACGCGGAGTGGTGATTTTGTTGCTCTGGGGCCCGGGCATGATCAGCTTCTGGATGATGGAGAAGTACTGCAAGTTGATGATCCTCAACCATATACAAAGTCACTGGCCCAATTCCGGGCACGTCAGGCAACATTCCCCAATTTGTTGGAAGCCCCAAGTAAGGGATCTTCATCACGATTCAGTGATTCGATTTCTCCCAGGAACGTTACAATTTGCAACCAAAAGCAGTGAATGCCACAACAACAACCTGGACGACCAAAACGTCGGACCTCTAGCGCTAACATGTGTTGCGTAGCATGCCTTAAGACGGAAAGAAAAGCACATGCACGCCATGCAACCATTTGACTTGATTGTGGTTTGCCGTCTCTGGTCCAAACTTGCAAGAGTCATCGCAGGTCATACAGTCTTGCCCTGTCCAACGCGTCTTTGCTGAAATGCTCAATTGGCCCATAGGGCAAAAAAAAACAAACCGTCTCTTTGAGGTTGACCGTGTTCGGTGAGCCCAAACCAAAACGAAAAAGGGTGCTGAACTATTGGGACAGAGGCCTACGACAGCCACCGCAAGAGTGCCATGCGAAACTCGCGGGAACCGAGCCCTGGGAATGAACCGCTGATCCGAGGAACGGGCATCGACTCTCTCGAATTGATTTCTCGTCCCGTTGAAATCCTCCGAGCCCCCGGCTCGTCACACTGGTGCATGGCCTAGTTCCAGTCGGCCCCGAGCAAAGCAAAAAGAAGGCGCTTCAGCTAGGTACGTCATTTATGAGATGAAGAACGAGGGCTTCTGAGACTTCGCGACAAAAAAAGAAGAGAAACGACGACATGCTAACAGCACAAAATGAGAAGAATCAACGAACCAACACATCGAGGCAAAACCGAGGTTCCCATGTCAAGGCGAGATGCAACCGTGAAGTGGGGATCTCTTTGAGGCCAAGTCTAACCGGAATGCGAACCGCTATTATTTCACGTGGCCACCTACCCAATGACAGCTAGCTCTCATGCTTGAAACCCCAAATGAGGTTACATAAAAAACAAAAACATACTTCTTTGACTACCGATTTTTGGGTCGGTTGCCATGTCTCTTCTCCTTCTACATTGTACAAAACACTGTATTGTCCAAACCTCCAAAGAAAAGCTGTTTTTAGTGCAGCTCCAAAGGACAATTCGAACTTTAAAGTACACGCGTGCACAAAAAACAAAAAACAGCTCGATACATTCTGAATTTCAGTACACGCGGAGTGCACACAGTCTGCTTGGCAACCAGTCGTGCTTTCCCAGGTGACAAGGCTGTTTTCCGTGAGTGTGGTTGTTTTGTTGTAATAACTATTCATTGGTTTACAGTGAAACGAATCAGTTTCGGATACAAGCACAAGGGTCCAGCAAATAGTAAATTGAACGTAACAAGGTGTTCATACAACCTCAAATTTCGTCCAGAGTCCAAACATCCGTTGGAGAGTTGGTGTGGTTCAGGCGATTCTCGGAATGCGGAGTATTAGTTCGTGTAGAACCATGCTTAATGAAAACACACCCCGAATGTTGTCAAGGCATTTAGCTTTGAGGGCAGGTCGACGAAGGGCAATTGCATTGCAACACGTCGACTCTTGCAACGTCGCCAGAATTGGTGCCAACCGCTGTTCAGGCCACGCCTGTGCATGCCAACAGCAACGATTCGCGCAAAGGCCGGAGGTGGCATGTAATTTTAAAAGGAGCCCTTGAAAAACAAAAGACATGATTAATAATGACCTGGGGAATCTCCGGTCAATATGAGCAACCTGTGGCAACATTCCATAACCTGGCAAAACAGTGAATTCCTCTTGAGGAAAAAAACAAGTCTCAAATCCCAGAGTTTCAATTTAACAGCCCATGAGGCCCGGTGGATCCGGTCTGAAAACTGCCAAGTGCCCAAGCACCGCGTCGAATCTGATGCGGCCACTTCTGTCCGCTTCCAAAGATCCAAACAGCTTTAGTCGGCCACACCACACAATAACAACAAGGCCGCATTCAGAACCATAATAACTAGGTCAGATCTGCAACTTCTGCAACAAATCCAACACCTGAAATCCACATTGTGGGTAAGCTTCTTTTACTCCCAGATGAGCTCGCCTTAAAATCGGCAACTGAGATGCTCTCAGCCTCTCAGCTCTCATCCCCGCCTCTTGAATCTTGCGGAGTCGCAAGAGCCGCATCACCCGCATGATCCTTGTGGAACCAGGAAGCTCAAAAAAACAAATAAGAAATCCACGGCGTGTGCTTTGAAAGTTTGGGGGAAGTCATCTCAGAGGTCTTCAAAAGGTGTGTATCCTCCATTTTGCGATGGGGTACCCTTTGAAGGGGGGAGTGCTAATCAGCCAATAAGCCATCCGATTTTGCGAGTTTCAGACGCCGTGTCTTGTCTTCCTACAAAGCAAACGCAAAAATGAAGGTCCAAGACCAAAGACCCGCAGGCTCAAATCATTGGCTATGATCTAGCATTGTGCTTGAACATTCGGATTAATGGGTTAACTCGCCCGCGAGAAGCTGCTCAGCAATGAGTGCGTGATGTGGTTTTCTGAGCCTGAGGAGGAAACATGTACTTTGCACAAACTGGCCTGTCACAAAGCAGAAACATCATAGAGGACCAGCGGGCCCAGTTGCCCAAAGCCAGGAACAGGGCGAAGGCTGTCCAATTTGATGGGTGCCCCAGTGCCCCGTTCGTTTTGGCCCAAAGCAACCCGTGTTCGACAGCACAGTTGGAGCACCACACCCAATGGGAAACTCACTTCCTGAGTTCCTGCACTTTATTCCCTGTTTGAGTCTGGACCAGTTCAGTGGCAAGCAACAAGTTGAGACTTTTTCTGGCCAACCCACTCAGGAAGCAAGTAAGCCGGAAACCGCAAGTTGTTTAGGGGTTACCGAACATTTGAGCAAGGTTTCGTCCAGTGCTGGCATAGGGTCCGGCGTAGGGACCCACAACCAATTCTTCTTCCACTTGCTGAAATGAATATGTTTCATGTTCCCTTGTTGGTTTTCAAGGGCATCTATCACTACTGGACATATTGTTATCTTGTCCAGGGGGCTTAAGCGAATGGAAGTCTCGCTCCTGGAAATGGACAAGGGGCCTTGGTAGAGAGGTGCTAGTCTTCTGCAATCGTCCAAACCTCTCCTGTCTTTTTCATTCTACTTCCAACAAGGTACCCAACAAAGGGCAAGCCCTTGTGGTCAATTCATGCCGGCGAGGCGAATAAGTCAATGCAATGCCCAGGTTGGATGTGTTGTTTGTGAAACCGGCCAAAACTCTTTTTTGGAGAGTGGCAGAGCGGTTATAGGAGAATCCAATGGGACACTGGCACCGAGTTGTTTGAGATAATTTGGCCTTCTTGTCGAACCCTCTAGCGGTTGAATCGGACGGATCCGCGCAATCGCATCCAAAACGTATCATGAACAGTCAAAGGGCCTGGCAAGGATCAGCCCTCGGCCTTTCGACTTCGTATCCTTGATTTCGACCCTTTGGTCCCAACTTTTGCCACATCCTGAGAATTGATGCGAATCGACCCTCGAATCATTGGCACGCAAGCCTGAACAAACCCAAAAAAGCAAACCCAAAAACCTGAACCAACCACTTCCAACAGAATCCATCGATCCCGCCTCATATAGCGCACTGACTTGCCGATCCGGGCAAAGCCTCGCACGTGGGCCCCGAAGGCGCCATTGTCGAGAAAGGGTGCCCGGGGTGCTCTTAAATGGGGGGGAGTCTCTACTTTCTTTAAGACAAAGCAAACATAGAGACTCGCCTTCTGGGGAAAACCCCCTTTTCTTATCACCAATTTTTTTTTGGGGGGGTTCTCCATCCCCTTTTGGTTGCCCTGGAAAATCGAGAACATTGGCTGGCGCCCAGTTCAATGTGTCTTTTAAATAAGCGCGAGGCCCCCGAGAAAGAATGCCCAGTTTGGTGGATGTTCAAGGGACAATGGGACGCCTATCGACACAAGGGCGCCACCGGCAATTCGGTTATCAACCGAACTTCTGCACGACTGGCACGTCAAGGCTGCACTTCACAACTTGCACTTCCTCCATACATCCAAGACCCAAACCAGCACCTCTCAGCTAAAGCTCTTTTGACAACGGGGGTTTGGGACATGGACAAAACACAGTCATTGGAGAGGTGCTGGGAAGCGGCCAACTAGTTTGACACGTGCGCCAACTACGCACACCTTGTTTTAGCCTCCTGGACCACTACAATCGGAATGATCTGAATGCGAATGGGGTCATTACAGGCCTTTGGTGCAAGCCCCGTACATGGCGAACCACACTCTCGCTCTATATTCATGTACATGCAATATGTATGTATACACATGTATATCTACGAGTATGTACAAAACAGTGGCACGTTCCAAGCGCCTCCCAACATCCAACTTCGCACATTCCCTATGGCGTCTTGTGGATTTCTCGAAACGGCGAAACGGCGCAACGGCTCCTGCCGGATTGGCTCCAGAGTCTGCTTCCACGAGGGCCAGGTACAACCTGCTACGTGACGGATGGGTGGTTCAGGACTTGTTTGGCTTCGCCTTGTTGCGTTGAAGGAAAACCCAAACTAGGTCCTCCAGTAGAGAGGTTCGAATAAGGGTACCCTGTTTTTGTAGTCTATTTTAGTAGGGGAACCCTCCCCCAAACAAGGTAAGATAAGCGCACTACTGGGGGACCCCTCTTCTTTTTTTTGGAGAGGGTGGGTAGAAGCCTTGGCAATGGCCAGAAACCCTTGTTACCTGGCCTCGAGGGTCTTGGAGGAAGGTTGGCCAGGATTAGTCCGGGCGTCCCCAAAAAGGCATTGCGAGCTTGACACGTGCCATGGAGCCCCCTCCCCTTGCAGGGTTTCCTGACTTATGGTTGCCATACCCTCCACCCCTCATAGCAAAATGCCAAAGGCGCATGACCCAGTCAACGACAATGACGACGAGGTCCGGTATCATCCACGTCCTCAGCAGAGGCCAGAGTTGGGTCAGTCCTTGTGTTTTTGCGAACTAAACACTTTCATCTAACTGTCTCAATGACAACTGCGGGCTCACCACTTGCTATGGGACTATCCCTGGGTAAGCCTGGATTAGCCAAGGACAGTTCCTAAGGTCCTAAGTTCAATGGGTGACAGACGGAACGAGGTCTTGAGCTCAGCTGACGGACTCCCTCCCCATAGTCCCCCCAGATCCATTTGACCAAGGAGAACCCCTGAGTTCCGCAAAGGTAAGACGATTCACCGGGGCCTCAGCCGAAAGCTGGCTTGATTGTACCGGGTTATCAAGGGACCATGATCCATCGAAATCAAAAATGACTGCCACAATGACAAGTGTGCTGCTTCAAATTATTGCACAATCTGCTTTTTCCATTTGATCATTCAGCTACCAAATAGTCCACATATGATCCAAATGATACGCTAGCTGGATCAGACTGTTCATAGGATCAGGCTGTGATTTTCTAGCGGGGTGGATGAACCTGGATGGCACCCCCGCCCCCATTTTGGCGTGAAGCTTCATGGGCACCCGCAACCTCCGGTGGACAAACTTAGGTGGGGATTCGTGCCCACCAACCACTCCCATTTGAAAGTCATAGCCGTTGGTCATCCCCTAATGACCTAATGGTGACCCCGGATTAACAAACCGCTGTTTATTCATATGGGGGTGTCCCCAGTTTTAGGAGGGTTTTATCACTACTACTTACTTACAGAGATGGAGTTGTGCGATCGACTTTCGTCCTGGTTGTTTAGCTTGTGATGAGGGAAGTTACAACAACTCCAGGTTCCAGGAGCAGGCAACGTGAAACACGCCTGCGAGTGTTGTCCAAAGCTGGACGTCATGGTTCTGGGGTCACACCGGCAGGTCGCTCTCTTTAGACGCATGCTCTTTCTGTTGGACAGGTTTCGTTTCCTTTCCACACTGCAAGGCTGCCGGAGGAATGGCCCGAGGGTGGGCAACGGCATGCGTCGCTCGCGCCGTCACTACTCGCTCCCGTCGGCATCGCCTGCGGCTCCTCCATGCGTCCTTTCAGCGTCTTGGGCCTCGCTGCAGATCTGAAGGACCAAGGGAGCCTGATTCGCATCCACCAGGTACCTCCTCAAGCGCGAGGCATCGCCATGCTGCGCAGCCCACAGCGCATCGATCAGCTTCAGACCAAAGCTCTTGTTGGTGCCCAGGAATAGGTGCAAGAAGGGACGGCGGAAGGTGATCTTCTTGAAGTCTGAACCCCAATCATGACGAGGCACATTTGGGAATGCCAGCTGGTTCAGGGCAAACAGCAGAAGCACCCCGCTTAAGATACTGCCTTGCAGAACCCGCCACTGGTCCTGCAAGTTGAACGCCACGATCTGACCGATCCACAGCACTGGAAGCAGGACGGCAGCCAAAGACATGAGGCCAACACACCACTTGTATTCTGGTGCCTGTATGATGTCCCACGAGAAGTGCAAATACCCCGCGCTGTCAAAGCTCCAGATTCCCCGCTTCACTGCAACGACAAAGTGGAGCAGCAGAAGCAAAGCAGCCCCGGCCGGTAGCAGCCACACCAACACAATCCAGGGAATGTTGGCGCCATCGATGCTTGTGGCTGGAAGAGTAAGTATTGTACCATTGTAGAAAACGCTCTCTGATTTCTGCGCATGGCCCAGGAAAAAGGTGTCGGTGACATTGGGCAAGTAGGTCGTAGTCGATTCAGTGGAGCCAAAGAGAAACAAATAATAGAAATAGCCTTCCAGGCGACTGCTGAGCTCGAATTGCGATCCCATCGCCGTTCGCAGATTCACATTTGCGATCAATCTCAGCCACGCGAAGACTGCCAAATAGATGGGGGCACACTCGACAATGACCAGGTGAATCCATGCAGTGGGCAGTTGCCGCCAGAATGGCGCCTCGGATTGAGGATTCAGCTCGTCGGACTCCATGTCCAGGCTCTCCATGAAGCCATAAATGCCGCCACTCTGCCAACTAAACTGGGCTGCCCTCAGATCCCAGGCTAAAAGTTGAACTTTTAGTGGGTTAAATGGAAACTGCCACTAATTCTAAAAGGCTTAAAAGCTAAGGGGATGGCAGGGAGCCACCAAGCAAAGACAGTTCACTCTGAGCAGGAGCCAAAATGGCCACAAAAACATGTGATGGCTTCCAGCGTTGCCAAGCACGGGCTCGGAGTAGTGATGTATAACCGCCTTTGCCCATTTGAGTCAAAATCAACCCGGCATTCAAATGGTCTACCCGGAACCATGTAAAGATTTGAAAAGGCAGCGAAGGCACCCATTTCTGGCTGGGATTCTTCCTGCCCTCCAATTACCCCGGCTTTGATTGTCCAACTCCAAATGCGAAGTCCAACTCCAATGTGAAGTGAATTTCCAGGAGACACCTGCGATGCGGATCTGGGGCGCCGGCCGGGCATAGCGGGCCGCCGTCTGACAGGCGAGCTAACGAAAAGGATTCGGATTCGTAGAGTCGTAGATTCGGGGCGTTTCATTTGTGGGCCGTCCGGTCTGTCAGATCCCCTGGTAATAGGGACTAACTTGTGGATAAAATGGAACAACCCCTACTAGACCAACTAACAAGCAAAGATAAAGGAACCGGATGGCTGGGAACCACCAAGTGGCCTCAAGAGTCATGTTCTTCACTTTTGGGGGGACCACCTTTTCCTACTTCCCAAAGGGCGCCGTTTAACTGGCGCCCTTTGGCAGGTCGCCCAAAAATCGCCCGGAATCGCCATGTCCATGGCTGGAAGGAAGGTCTACCATGTTCTTGCAGAACCCCCAGCTCCGGAACGGCTCCCTTCCAACAAAGGCAGTGGTGCATCTTCATGCATCTTCTTCCAAATCATGGCACTGGCACATCCACGTAGATTGATAAGCTTTCATGCTGGGTTCAGCCGCCAAAGAAAGGTGGCACACAAGCATGCGTCGATTTTCAGGGTTGGGTTTGCACACGTAGAAAGGAAATACGTCTAATCATCGGGTCTGGATGTAAAATCAAAAGGACACAAACGGCATTCCCCAAATCCAGCATGGGAAAAGTGCACCATTAGACGACGTACGACGATGTTTCCTGCTGAATCCTTGGGCAAATTAACCCTCAGCATCTGAAAACTTTGGATGCTGATCTTCTACCAGAAGGCGTTGGACCGGCAAGAATCCTGCACTGCAATTGCACGCCAATCCTGAAAACACGCCTTTAGGAATGTAGATGTATATACATCTGGGTTGCTTTCTGCTCCCCTGCTAAAAGTTTAACTTTTAGTGGTTTAGTGGACAGCCCATTTGTTGGCAAAAAGTTAAAGTCCTAACGTCCAAGCAAGATGCACCAAAGACATGTGTATATATATATACATCAATGTGTCACGTATCGTTCCTACTGCTAGGCTGCGACGCACCCCAATTCTTTTTCCCTTCTCATCATTCATAGTCTGCACTGCCCGTGCCTGTAACAACCCTCATCGCCTGAGGGATAATGCTTTGGATTTCCATGCATCTCCTGCATGGACTGTGCTTAGAGGGGGCCACCGGTCAACTCCGGTTGGGATGCCTCTAACATCCTTAAAAGTTCCCCTCCCCTCGAAACAGCACAGTGCGCCTTTGCGCAAACCCCAGTCCCATCGGGACCTTCAAAGTTGTCGGCTACTGGACGCCAGGCCAGACAACTAGGGTGGGTTGGGTGGGGAAAACCAAAAAGGTATCTGCCAATTTGGCTCAGTCTTGATCCAAAATGGCAGACCCATAACAATTGATGATACATGTTCACCCAATGCCTGCCAAGCTCTAAACATGGCATACATCAATGTGTCACGTATCGTTCCTACTGCTAGGCTGCGACGCACCCCAATTCTTTTTCCCTTCTCATCATTCATAGTCTGCACTGCCCGTGCCTGTAACAACCCTCATCGCCTGAGGGATAATGCTTTGGATTTCCATGCATCTCCTGCATGGACTGTGCTTAGAGGGGGCCACCGGTCAACTCCGGTTGGGATGCCTCTAACATTCCCCAATGCACTTCATCAACTCCCAAAGCACTACAGAAAGCTCGTCACCGCGAGCACGGCACGAAATGGCAGCTTCCACATGATGGGGAAACAGAAAGCAGTAGACATTGAAAAATCATTCTGGCGGGCCCATGGGTCCTGCCATCCTAACCGAGAAATCGCATCCGACCAGTTGGATTTGGAAGGGATCCACTCCCAATACATCCAAACTTGCAGCCCAAACAAAACTGTGTGTATCACGTGGGACATTCGTTCCAGATCGGGCTCCCTGGATCTACCACGGATTAAACACATCAGGGCTGCGGTGTTATCGATGTACCACACTCCCCGCCGATTACGGAATGTATCCGGTCGGCAGAGGAGGGCGTACAACACCATGGACAGCTCCAATTGAGCAATCTTCCGGTCCCCCGGAGTCCACACCTGGTAAAGCTCAAGTGGGATGTCGGCTACAAAAGCTTCCCGTCGCTCGGCGAAGCCGTCGGCCCACACCATCAGGAAACCTCCCGTCCCCTGACGTGGGCTCTCAAGAGCCGCATCCGAAGCTATCACAAATCTCTCACACGGCACTGGTAAAACCTGAAGCACTCGGCGTGGTTGGGTAGCAAAAACTGCTTCTAGCAACTCAAGGCTCGCCTTGATAGGCTCAGTCAGCTCAGATGATCTCTCAGCCTGCCGCGTCTTGATGGAGCCCAATCCTCCGCATCCCACGCGGCCATAGACTCCCATCTCCAAGAAGTTAGCCAGGCCGTAGATCTTGGCCGCGAGGCCAGGTGCGAGTCTCCCCTCGTTCCTGACCTTCTGGATCATCCCGGACATCTTCTCGTGCAACCGCTCCCGAGCCCAGAACGACACCACGCCGTCGCGCAGTGCCTGAGATAGGTCATGGTCAAGCCCCAGAAAGAGTCCTTGGGCTGCCATAGGCTGCTTCTTGTCCTCGGAGAATGGCGTGCCCAGCAACCGGTTCAGCTCTTCCAGTGCCCACTGGCCGGAGCCACCGGCCGATCGCCAATCCGTGCTGTGGGCGTCATCGAAGTAGAACGAAACCAGAAGGACCAACAGTCGTCTGGCCAGCGCTTCCGCCAGCCTAGAGTACCGGTTGAAACTGGTCACGGCCAACGGCAGGCCAAAGAGCAGCCCTGCGTACCGCTGAAATGCAGGCGCCCCCAAAAACAAACGAGACAGCCCCTGGCCTCCTCACTGCTCATAGGAGAGTGGCGATAGGCGTCTGGCCAATCCTCCCCTCCGGATTCCCACGAGTCACCCTCGCGGGCCGAGCGAAGTTGGCTCTCATCCATGCGTTGCATCACCGCTGCAATGTGCTGGGCTGGTCGCAATGGTGAACAGAGGACTAATTTATTGGCGTCCGATGAACGGAGGGATTGACCCCCTGTATCTGCGTTGTCGATCACTCGCTGCTTGCCTGAGGACTGTGTGATGACACACCTAGGTATGAGTCGGAACTCCTGCCCTCTGAGCTCCCGCTGCAGCTCGGACAGGGACATCGGGGCTGTGCAGAACCCACGATCAGCGTCCTTCTGCGACTGCTCCAGCAAGAAGGCATCATCCTTGCCCGGGCGCAAACTAGCTAGCACGAGCCGATTGTTCTCGCCTGCCCCATCCAGGACCTCCTCAAAGGTGATCCTCCGCGCATCCTGCTGGGGGAACACGCCGTAGTGGGGGGCAAAGCCGACTGCTGGCAGGCCCACCACCAGGCCATGGGGGTATGATACGTCGGGCCACGCCAGCAATATCACCAACAGGCCCAGCAATCCAATGTCCCTTTGTGCTGTCACGGCTTGGAGGGCTGGTGCCTGGAATTGCCTCAACTGATCATCCACTCGCTTCCATCTCTGCTTCAGCTCCTTGACGGCCCCGATGGCGCCACGTCGCATCTGGCGCAGGTCCCCCCTGCGTGCCGCCATGACTGAAGCCACAAACTGCAAATCCTCATCCATCACTGCTTCTTGTTCCAGTGGGGTTGGCGTCATCTTCATAGCCAAGGCCGCAGCGAAGCGGTCGTCCGGATTGGGTACACCGGAGATCAGCGGGGGCAAGGCTGCCTTGTGGCTCAACGCACCCGCTTGCTGCCCCTCCGCTGTGCGCGACATGCGGACCCCCGCCGGGGCCGTGGCAGGGCCCAGGGGACCATCCCAATCCAGATGCTGCCCGTGCCGCCACTCCGCATAGTCGATGAATGGAGACTGGTTGATGAGGTCCTCAATCATGGGGAAGCGGAAGCCCTTGAACCAGGGCTCAGGAAAGAGGCACAAGAAGCAGTTCACCACTGCCTCTTGCGTCCAACGCCTCCACGGCACCGCCCTGGCATCCACTCCTGGCAAACCGCCCCATGCCAGCAGAACTCCTCGTCTCGGCACTCGTCGGTTCTTCCGTCGTGCTGGCTGTGCGGCCGACTGCTGGACACACTCCTCAAAAACCAAGCCGGCCAAAATGTCAGCCTCGCACACCTCCTCAAAGCTGCAATCACAGGCCAGCCTCTTGCCCATCAGCTCTGGCAATCGCTCATTCAGGCCTGACTGGTGGACATACTGCACGAAGCGTGGGATCCACTCGTCCCACGAGCAATCGTGTCCCGGCACCCACGGGCATCTCCAGTCGGACGTAGGGACTCGATGGCTGTGATGCCCTCGTCCAACGTAGACCACGTCCTCGGGTAGGGTACCATCTTCGTACAGCACCTCGAGGATCACCGCTCGCCGAGGCACCGTGGCACCCGATGCCAGCGGGGGTGGCTTGAGCCCGAGGCTCACCGCCATCGGTGCCATGGCCCATTCGCGTAGAGCCCGTCCATCGAATTCCAACCAGTGCTCCCGGCGACCTACCGTCTCGATCGCTGGCATCCGCGGGACCGTCAGGCGTGCCTTGCCGACTCGGGCCGCCCACCACGAAGCCGCCACCGCGATGCTGAATGCCAGCGCTGCCGTGTACTCCGCCTCGGCCTTAGACGGGTACCACCTGCCATCGGAACTCTCCTGTGGTTCCCACTCTCGGGGGTGGTGGGTATCCTGGACGTTGTGTCTGAGGCACTGGAGTTTGCTCCGGGCCCCCGCAAACACGCATGCGGAATATTGCGTGTCCTTCCACAGTCCGGACTCCATCATCGCCTGCTCCTGGGGGAGGTACCAGTGCAAGCTCCTCCATGGGTTCTCCCGCACGGAGGCCCCCCCTCCTTCGGCGTGCTTCTGGAGCTGTGTGAGCATGCCGCGTTGTCTGTGTCCACCCAAGTCTGGTCCTTGACTGACAGCCCTGGTAACCCCAGGGGCTGGTCTGCTGACCGGAGAGGCTGGGGTGCTGGGCGTCCGTCGTTGAACTTCCGCGGAATCTCCCTCGCGGGCGTGGTGGAGCAGTCCATCGCGGCCGCAATGAAGTCGGTCTCCTCGAGCTGGCCTGCCAATGACTTTTGCCTCA